GGGAGGGACAATTTTGGGATTCATTGAAGAGGAACTCTTCCTATACATTTTCCTTTTGTCCCTTCAGGCCTTTTTTGTACACGTAGGTATTTTAAGCTTATTGCAGTTACCAGATCTGAAAACAGACCCCTTGCAGTAGCCTGGCAAAATCACAGGCACTGCTTGCTTCCATCAGTATGTCATTCTGACACTGGCTCTTAACTTTTTATGCCTATTGAAGACTTAACAAGAGACTGTGGACATGGAGTCTAGGCTAACATAAGAATTAAACTTTTCAGCTTCTGAATTTTGTGCAGTGTCTATCTCATACATGAAAGGCTGAAGACAGAGGTATGCAGAATATAACTTTGGTAGCTTAACACTTTTCTTCTTAGAAAATTTTTATTTTGCTTATACAATAATGATCTAAGCAGCTAGTGTAATTACAGTAACTGCAGACCTATAATGATAGCCTGAGGTTCTAGAAATAGTTCTAGTGACTTAAACACTGATAATGGATTTTATTTTTGTCATTCATGAAAGTATTTGTCACTGTGCTTTGTTAAAGCAGTGGAAAATTCTGAAGAACATATAATACTTCATAGTGCAGTAGACCAAGGAAAGGTAAAGATTAATTTAGAAGGGTTTTTGTTGTCATAATAACGCACTCAACATAACAGCCTGTCATTTTTACTTAATATTTCCCTTAAAAGCCTAATTCTTTGACTTACATATTAATTTAATAAATTGTATTCTTTGATATTTCTGTAATTAAATTCCTAGAGGAAATACTGTCACTTGCTATAATAACTGTTTTGATATATATTGTGAAACAACCACAATTAAGAATTTTTTCTTAACTAACTTTGACAGATGATCAGAAAAGACACATGGTCTGTAGTTAAGAAAGGAAATCCTTTCAGTAGGTTTACAAACAGCTTAAAGACACTCCTGTCACTGCTAATACTTTCTCATATGCAATAGCACAAATTATATTTTAAGTACAGTAAGGACAAGGAATATTTTGTGAGGGTTTCTCTTTTATCAATGTTTTCTACTGCTAGTGTACCACTGGGTTTTCTGTATATAATTTTGTTTTCTTGAACTATTGGTTTAACTCCTACAAATAAACTTCACAGGAAAGTGAAATTTCTTGTGTTTTTCTTCGGAAGGGGCAACAGGGGAAGGAGCAGCTTTGCAAATACATATGCAGTGACGAGGAAGATTTTGTACTTCGGGAAAAGTACAGCTACAGTAGAGTTTAGAACTACCCTGACTGTTTTGTGGTTGCATAATAGTACTTCATTTTAGCAGTGAAGTTAGCATATATTAAGATTATACTGTAGACTTTGGATAAAAAAATCTCTTTAAAGCATTACTTTTTTCCATAAAGGGATTTTTTTTTTTCTTTGTACAGGTATGGGGAAGTGGAATATTTGGAATAAAGTGCTGTGCACAATACTTGCATTATGCTAAAAGTTCAATCCACTTCACAAAATGTACTATACTTGCTGAGGTAGCTGAAATTTTCTTGGAGATAACATGAGGAATCTGTCGTGCCATGAAGGAGCTGCCTGCAAAAGTCTGCTTTCTGTGATCACTGTCTTGCAGTCCCAGGCTGTCTCTTTAGATGCACAAAACTGGTCTATTATTTTTGTATAGATGCTTCTGTTCTAGTGTTTTTGGCCAGAATGGCTTGATACAAGAGAGGCAGAGTATAGTACTCTGCTTTTGAATGATACATTGTTTTCATGCAGTTGGGATTTGTGTGCAAAAAAGACTTGCAAAAATTTTTTACTTGAGTTGAGTGTATCTGTAGTCTTTTTGATATGTTCCCAACAATTAATTGTATTTTCCCCATTTATGTATGTATCCATTTGTGGGTAAGGAGAGAGGTGGAAGAATGCTTGAGCTGTAGAAATGGCCAGAGCATTGTATGACAACTTCCACTTCTGTTGATCTTAAAATATATATATACACAAAGATAATATATGGAGTATATCATTCTAATCTTGTAGTGGCAGAAAGATAGGTTTCTGAAAGAAAAAAAAATCTGCGTTTTTCAGAAAAAACATATCCTGTCCTTTGCCAAGTGTTAAATAAGCAAGTATTGCTTCACCACCAAGACGACCTTGACCTTTTGTTTCCATCCTCCAAAACAAGTTTGAATCCCTTTAATCCTCAGTCTAATATTCAATGGAGCAAGCGAGGCCACTGAACGTAGCCTGTATGTTGACATGGTAGTGTGTTGTCACTGGTCTTTCAGATGGTCATAGCTTCACTGAATTTTAGTTTTTAAGAGGGCTGTAACATTCCCAATATTGTTTAAAATCTACATAGTTTAAGGTGAAGCCTTAATCACTGAAGAGAGAGAAGCTCAGTACATGGACTGTAATGTCGGAAATGTTATTCTGTAAATTGCTAAAATAAATGCAGTTATCTGAAATGAATCACTTTATACAAAAATATAATTGAATTTCTGAAAGTTAGAAGACATACTTTTTCTATTCAGAAAATAAAGAAATAACAAATAAAATTATATTTGCAAATGGAGAAACATTTACCACATTCAAGGTAAAATGGTGATTCTTTCATTATAGTAGGATGAGCATGACAAATACATGTTGGATTTAACTAGTCGTCAGTTGTTCTGTGAAACATAAAAGCTCTAAGAATATTTTTTAGGTTATATAAGAATCATACAAGACACTTCTGATTGTAGAAGACTGGTAAAAGCTCACTTTGAAGGATAAGGTTAAGAACCCTGTTTTATATGTGCCTGTACTTAACAATTTTGAAGTCTCTTCAACCTCCTGTCTTTGAGAGTTTGTAAACATTTTGTGAAGTTACTTGTTCGACTCTAATTTACTCTTGGTGTGGAATCATTTCATTGCTTGCTAACTCTTGACAAAAATTAATCTCACTTGCACAGAGGAGACAATAAATTGAATATGGCTCTATATTCAAGAAGAGTATCAAGAGTATTGAGGAGCTGGAAACTTCTTTAAGTGTTGCCCTTTTGATATAGCAGTCAAAGTTGCAGCCCCAATTTATGTTTTTGATCATCTTTAAATGACATGAAATAGATTGGTTTTTATAATGAAAGTGTTGGACAACTGTAATTCACAATACTAACTCACGGATCAAGACAGACAGGCCCATGACCCTGCTCCTGAATATTATTTCTGGCTGCTGGGCCATGTTTTTAGATCCAACTGCTCTGGCTGCCAGCTGCTTCTAGCACGTCGAGTCCTGGCACGAAAAGAAGCTGTGGCGCTGCAGAGTGTGGAGGGTTTATGTTTTCATGCTGCATCTCTTTCCCCTTCCCCAAGACTTGCTTGTAGTGGAAGAGCTCTGTTACTGGGCAGTAAGGTTTTGGGGCCTGCCTGGGAGGTGCATGTACAGATGTATGTGACTTAGCTTCCAATAAAATATTTTTTTCAAGGATGTTGAGGAAACTCAAGTCTCTAATCTGTGGTGTTTGCAGATTACTGTGGTTAGTAAAAATGTCACAACTTCTAGAAGTTCAGTGAGTTGGAAGAGCATTTTAAATCTTGTATATAGTCCTTTTTCTGTGAAACATCAATGAAAAAAGTTAGTGCGGCCTTTTGGCTTAAATATTCAAGCACAAGAAATCAAGGAAGTTAGGAAATTAATAAATAAAAGATTTGCTTGAGCAAACTGCATTCCCTAACTAGAAAGAAATAAAAAGTAAAGTGGTACACTTTTGATCCAGGTAGTATTACTATAGAAGCTTTAACTTTTGAAACCTGTAATACAAATTAACATCTTTTCAGCCATTAGCAATTTTTTTTCATTGCTGCTGTTAGCCTTTGCTTTTGTGCTGAGGTTAAATGTGTATATACAGCATCTAATGCAAAGGATCTAAAGCTGTTCTTTGCATAAGTAATTATTAACAGGCTTGTGAAGTGATGCATGGATTTGGCAAGGGAGCTCAACTGGGAGAAAACAAGGACAAAATATCTGTAAAGCTAAGGATTAGAGCTGACAGAACAAATTTCCATTGAATAATTATTTTAGCATATAACTGAAACATTTCTGAAAGCCCAAGTTTGCTAGTCCAAGTAATTTGGCAATTTCTTTCAATATTGGGCCCTGTCAGATTAAAATGGTTTAGAGTTTCCAGTTTCCAGAAAGATTCTAGACTCCAGTTTCAAGTTAGTATTTGTGTTGTATAGAAAAATCAGAACCTTTAGCAGCTTCAGTTCCTACAGACAGTTTTTCCTTATCAGTTTTGAAGAAATGGTAAACAATAAGCAGGACCCAAGAGGACAGAAATAACCAAGCTTTCAAATATTTGTGCTGGAGCTATGGTCAAAGAGTTCTCTGCTGGTACAGTCATTAGCTTTTGGGTTTTGTTCAGGTACTTCCTTCTAGCAGAAGAAAAAACTATAAGGCAGAAAATTAAAATGTGATTTAAGTAGAATAATAGCCCCAAATTTTAACTACTTTTTAATATGACTTTTATAATTGTTTATGGTTGGTTTTAGGTTCGCTTTTTAGGGGATACTTTGGGTTACATGTAAACTTACCTTTCTTATACTTTGTTTTCTGCCTTTTGTCTCCTTGCCTGGAACCAGCTGAATCTGCATAAGGCTACTTCTAAAAATCCTTTGTTCTTTAAAATGTGAAATTAGATAGATTTCAAAGGGAGATTTAGAGATTTTAACATAGGGATATTGTATTTTAAGTTTAAAATGACAGCAATCTTGAGCAAATACATTCAATATGATAACATTCAGATAAAAATCACACAGCCACCTTTAAGAGACTTACTAGTTTTAGAATATCTTGGTTTCTGTTTCTTGTTTAAGTTTCTACATTGTCTGTGCATGTCTGTCTCTTGTCATGTACTGGCTTTGCTACTTTTCTCTACCTGTAACTTGTCTTATTTTTTCCCGTTTGCCTATTGCCATTCTTCTATTTTTTGGCAACGTAGACCTTGAAGTGTAGGATATCTAAAAGACTTTAATTCCTTTTTTGGTGGCTTTCTCTTTCAGGATAACATTTTGTCATCTGCCTTTCCAAAGTAAATGGCTCTATGTGGGCACCGAAAGAGGAAACATTCACATTGTCAATGTGGAATCATTTACTCTCTCAGGCTATGTCATCATGTGGAATAAAGCCATTGAACTGTGAGTTTAATCAAGTATTGTCTGTTGAGGGGAGGGAACAGAAGTGTTCCAGATGTTATTAACATCAGTTGCAAAAATGTCACTGTTGCCTCGAGTGGCCTCCATATTAGTCTCACTATACCATGTACGTGATCAAAGTATGTAAATAGTCATGTAAATACTTTTTATTCTCATAAATATGAAGTATTAATGTATATGTTTCTGCCTATTACACTATCATAGTGCCTGGAATAGACATAAAAATAGACAAAATAGACAATATAAAAATAGACATAACATCATTATCTGTAGGGATAAAGAACTAGAAAAATAATATATGTTAAAGTATGATGTGGCTGGTACTTGGGCAAGCATGTTACTTCTACAGTTTTGGGGGTACAGCCCAAAGTATGAAGATACGCATTATAAGAGGGCTGATGCATGCTGAGTATAAAATTACTGGCTGAAAATATAAATTTAAATAAGCCTGTTCCAAGAGCAAAATATACTTTACAGTTATTGTCATTGCTCCTCCCTTTTTAATAATAAATTTGTGTATGTACATATAGTGTTTTATGAGTAAAAACATGTACTTGTGGGCTGCTGTTCCTGTGCTGTTATTTTGTTTCCAGAATGTTATGTCTATCTTCAAAACATACATGAAATCCATCACTTGTCAAAGGCTGTTGAAACAAACACAGCTTATTAGTCCATCATCTTCAATAGCAAGAAGTCAACAAAGTCTTAACTCTGTGTTGTTTTCACAATGCCCAGCTTGGAAAGTTTATGAATAATGGCAAGACCTGTTTTCCAGCATAAAAATAAACATTTTATCCAACTGTGTCAATTCTGTAACAACATTGAGATAGACATTATAAAGCTAATGGCAATTTTTTTCTGTATTGTGAATAAGCAGTAAATAAGCCTTTCCTTCTTACAGAAAGACAGAAACTAAGTGCCTAAAAATAGACAGAAAATATTTATGGGCTTGAAGATAAAAGTGACTCCATGCTGAGATGTCAATAGCTTGCTTACATGGAGTCTATCTGCAGAATCTGTATTACTTGCAATCATTTTGAGATGCAGTTTTGGGCAGGGGAATTTTTTGTTTTTTTAAATAAATGGAAATATTTCTTGTTTAGGTCGTCCAAATCTCACCCAGGACCTATTGTCCACATTAGTGACAATCCAATGGATGAAGGAAAGGTAGGATATGTTTAAAGACTATTCAATACATTATTTTTTAAGCAAGACTTTTTTTAAAGTATAGATACTACTGCTTTTTAAGGAAGGATTAAGTAGATGAGGACAATGTTGAAAGCATAAAGGAATGCTAAATCAAGGTTTTAGGCTCTGAAAATAATGTGAAGCAAGGTGGAGATATGACTGTAGGACCCTTTACTGGAATAACTGAATGCATCTTGTAATCAGAAACATTTGAAAATACAGCTGAAAGTGCTTAATTGCAAAAATTCTTGAAAATAAAAGCAAAGAACTTTACTTATGGTGGTAAAAATTAAGGTGTTACTAAAAAATTCCAGTCATGACCTGAGTGCGGAAATAGTGGAATCGAAATTAAATAAACTTTATAATGGTCTTGGGTGTTGCTGTTTCACAACTTTAAAATGCTTATTTATATAGCATATTTATGTTGAATACAGTGTACTTCATCTTCAGTTTAGCTAATCCAAGGCAGCAGTTTTTATGGGATTTAAGGTCTAACTGACATACTCTCATTTAGCAAACAGCATCTAGTGATTATAATAAATTGCTTAAAACCTAACTGGTCTGTAGCACAACTAGGTACTAAAAGTCAACTAAAACATGTAAGAAAGAGCTATGTATTAGACTTGTCTTTTCCTTCTTTTGAGATAATATTAACATAATCATCTTTTTATCTTGACAAAAAGTTTTACACTACCTGTTCTTGAAGCCCTTGCAAGACAATAATTTTTATGTCCTGTGACATAGCCACAAAGAACTTGAGCTATGAACTCAATGGTCATGAGTTCCTTCTGTATTATTAAAGTAAATCTACAGGTATTACCTTTTGCTTTGGGACATCTGTTATGAGGCTCATGCAAAAACAATGTAGAATGCATAAATTTTGTTCACAACGAAGGCTTCATGAATTAAAAGAGAAAGTAAGGAGTTAAAATGTTAGTATGCCTTCTCTAGGTGACAGCAGTTACCACAGTACCAATTCATACATTATCCACTTAAGTCATGGTTGCAAGACTAAGTCTGTGCTTCAAGGTAACAGACCTCTTCTGTGAGTCTTAGAGGGGAAGTCATGTGATCCCACACCATGAAGGATCTTCAGCCTCTTTAGCTTGTGTGCCCCATATAGTTATTGAGCAAATCTTAGTGGTCTGCTGCAAGTTTTGTTCAGATCCCTTGGTCCACACTGAAGAATAAGCAGTAGGGGTTTTGCAAGTTTTGTTCAGATCCCTTGGTCCACACTGAAGAGTAAGCAGGAGGGGTTTTCCTTAATTTTGACGATAGGAATAAAGCAAAATATGAAAGGATTTGAAAACAGCAGTCTTACATGTGTCTTTTCCAAGAGTGCATAGACCCCTGACAAAAGTATGGCTATAACTCAGCCAGAGACACCTTGATGCCAGTTTAAACAGATTTTCATTAATGACTCTGCTCTAGATTAATCAGGCATAAGTGATTTAATAGATTGAATTAAATTCTGAATTAATATTTTTCTCAGTGTAAGGTCTCAGAAATATCTTAGAGTTTTGAACTCCCATTTGTGAAGAATCTTCAAGGAGAAAGAAAATAATTTTGCTTACTACTGTTCCACATACTCAGGAGAAATATTTTTTGGTTTACTTGCTTTTCATTTGACATGTTAGTGGTGGATAAAACAGAGAGAGGGAATGATACTATTCTCTCAGCAGTGGTTTGAATATTTTAATAGCATGCTAGTTTATAAGCTGGTATCCTAGACACCTGAGGTTTCAGTCCAACAAGGAGAATTTCATGAGTAGCTTTTTTTCACTGGGATGAAGCTCACTGGAGTAAGTGCATAACTAATGGGTTTCTCTGTAGAACTAGGTTTGAATCACAGTCCAGAATCATGGACCCTAGAATATGAATGGAATGAAGCTACAGTAACTTCAGAAAAGATAAATGACCTATTTATTCTGGTGTATTCCACCTCCACACCACATTTAATTATTGTCAATTAAAGCTTAAGAATTATTGGTTTTATCAATCAGGCTGTCAGTCAGCATTTTAGAATCTGACCTTACACTCCTCTTCTTTCTCATAAGAAAAATACTGCTGGAAAAAAAACCTGTGCAGTTGCAAGAACCTCCTGTGTACTCATTTTTAAAATTTGTTCATGCTATTAGCATTCTAATAGCTGTGATTTTTCTAATGTTAGTTAAAATAGGAAAACTATAAAATATGGCTTATGATAAGCAAGATAATTAAAAATAATATACATGATACTGTAGTGAGAAAAAAATCTAATACTTTTACTAGATCAAATGTGTTTAATATCTTTAGTGGGTTTTAGTGCTGTATAGCACTGAAATAGATCAAATATTTTATCTGTAAGCTGGTAGAAGATCCTCTGTTATTTTTCATACTGGAAATAACTGTACACCTTGAAAATCTTAACATACTGAAAAGAGTATCCAGGCAAAACCTCTAGGTATGGCAATAGACCATATTGATTTAGAACTGTCCTTCACTACAATGTCATGTGTGAGAAGGCAGTGTTTTCTAACTTGTAATATGAAGGATGCTCATCAGGGCACTTCTGTTTGCTCACAAGAAATAGGCTGTTTCCACAGCAAGTAAATCCCAGCAGCCAACTGCTCCTTTTTTGTACGTCCATGCTGGGAAAAAGAAGTGGGAGTGAAGGCGTGCTATTTAATGCTAGGAGCTGCTACTCCTGTAGCACCATTGCTCAAAGGAAAGATCTCATGGTAGATCCAGCAACTATGAAAGATAAAGCTGCATTGTCTTCTTCTATATAACAAGTGCCAAGACTGTTACTACTGCCCTATGTTGGCTGTGTCTTGTTTTCATTGAGAGGTGTCACTTAGGAGAGTAAAACACTTAGATACTCAATGATGTGTTAGACCAATTATTATGAGCAATTTGAATCTTCACTCCCTGCAGAAATGGTTTAATCTTGCTTCAAGCAAAAAGATTATTTGGAAAACTATCTTGTTTAATTTCTCTCTAGCTTTCCTCTTATTAATAATGAATGTTCTTGGTGTTCCTTTAGCCAGTTATCTCAGTTGTAATTAATGTCTGGAGAAAACTTATTACATAATTTCTCCATAGACAATGAACCGCTACCTAGAACTTCAGGAAGGATAGTGTGTTCTTCCAGCAAATCTAAGCAGAACAAATTCCAGTGAGGGAAATGCACAGTAAAAAGCTTTGTTTTGTTTTGTTTTTTTTTTTCTAGCCCCCCCATTTTCACTCAGGAAGGAATACACTTAGGAAAGTTTTTAATGTTGACCTTTCTGGAACTCAAAGGGATTTCCAAGGACTCTTCAGAAGAATGCATTATTTTTTTTCTAATTTTATATGAATGTCAGTTGTATTAGCCGGAAGTTTAGGAGAATGACAACAAATACAAAGTAAACCTCTCTAACATTGCGGTCTTCACTTCTCACTAATTTTTGTCTTCATAACTACTTGCAGTTACTACATGTAGTGTTATGCTGCATCTCTGGGGCAAGATCTACAGGCATTGCAAATGGTATTTTTCTTATGCTTATAAAGACTTAATGTATCTGCTTATTATTGCAGCTTCTGATTGGCTTTGAGTCTGGAACAGTGGTATTATGGGATCTGAAGTCAAAGAAGGCAGATTACAGATACACACATGATGAGGTAACATTTTTTTCATCTGCATTACTTACTATGAGGATATCATTTGCTATTCTAATAGTGATTTTTTTTTTCTCCTGCTTCTGTCACCAGTGGATCAATAAATAGGTCTCTTTCAAATTGCAAATACGTGAAGTTTTCTCTAAAAGAGCCGTAGAGTTTGAATAATAGAAGCTTCAGACCGAATAAGTGTTCACTGAGTTGAAGTTTGTCAAGCAATGAATGGTGGTGTGGATTGGATTAAGATTAAGAACAATCATTCAACATAATATGCATGTTGATGTATTTTATTTAAAATAATATAAAATTAGTCTCAATTACATTTCATTGATTGTAAAATGTCTGTATCATTGTTCAGTACCAGCTAGGCCTGTTTCTTGTATCACAGCGGGTGTGTTTTCCTTAGCTGTGTGCTGAACTTTTCACAAGATGAGATTTGTTTTGTTTTGTTTTTTTTCTGGTGCATCTGGCTCAGTACTCACGCTTGTGTGTGCTTAGTTCTACCGATGAAGGGTTTCTTTGAAGGGGGAGTCTCTGAAGTAGTCTAAGCCTTAGATCATCAGAGCTGTATTAGAACATCAGAGCTGAATGAGGTTTCTTTGTGTGTTCAGAAATGTCGGTATAAGCCTCAAAGTATGCTGTGTGAAGAGCAATTTTCTACCTTCCAGTTTCATTGCATGCACCTAATTAATTCCCTCTATTGCTTTGTTCCATAAACTTATATCTCCATCATCTTTTTCTACTCTTAATCAAGTTCTTCCTATACCTCTTATTGTTCTTGCTCTTCTCTAACTTTCTTTTTAACCATTCTATTTTGTCTTTGTTTTATAAACTAGAAACACAACAACATAGTATATTCAAGACGTGGGCACGCTGGATTTGTGATGTGGAATAATTATGTTTGGTTTTGTTTTCTTTCTCTTGATCTTGATACTGGATTAGCCTTTTTGATGCTGTGAGCATTAAGCAGATACTTCCTTCGAACAACCTACTATAAAACTAGAGTCCTATTCTTCAGTGTTAATTGTCAGCTCAAAGTCCATTGCATTTATGCATCACTTCACATTTACATAGTTGGATAACAAAAATTTTTAAGTCTTTCTGCAGTTATTCACTGGAATCCTGATTTCTGCCTTAAATATGCTTTGGTACTGTCAGCAGACTTATCACCTTAATATGCTTGTTCTAATTTTCAGAGTTATTTATGAATAAACTGAGCATTACAGATCCTTGATGGTCTCTACCAATTACCTTCATCTGTGAACTAATCAATTATTGCCAGCCTGTCTTTATTCTAGCTTGCTTTACTTCCTGATACCCTAACCAATTATTCATCTGTTCAAGGATCTATAGTCTGTTTGGTTTTAGTTTCCTTTGAGAGATACTGTTGAAAGACTTTGACAATTGTGTAGACAGCTTAATTAGTGTTTCCAGTAGCCACATGCTTGTTAATGCTTTCGGAGGTGGTTGCATATGATTTCCTTTAACGAAAAGCATGTTGACTTCTCTTGCCTGGTATATTATACTCATCCGTGTGTTGATTAAGTCTGTTCTTTATTAAAGTTTTGTTGCTGTTTCTAGAAATTTACTCAGGGTAGACACTATGCTGCTTATTCTGTTTTTCTTTGGATTTTGTGGTCCATTTGTTTAAAAATTGACTCAAATACTTGTCATCTTCCTGAACCACCCTGATTTGAGAGGTTGCGAACAGCAGTGAATAGTTCAGCCGTTTCATCTTTGATATCCTTTAGGATTCATAAGTGAACGCATCTAGTTTTTCAGTTTGTTTTTTGAATGCAGAAGAGCTAATGAAATACCTCAGGTCAGATTCTTTGGTAAAGAAATGTGCATTATCATAAATTGGGAATGGATAGGAACAAGAGAAAAAAAAAATGAAGATCTATAGAGTGACCTTGATGAGTTTCACTGTTCTTATTAGTGAGAAGCAACATACATGAAATTGCTTTAAAAAAAAAATATTGGCCATTCAAGTCTTAAAAGTTGAAGTATGCTTTTTCTGTGAGTTCAGATTGCCCTTTAAGAAAAATATCTTTGGAAAAGGAATTACTGTATGCAGTAATAATTTGTTGGTTCTTATCCATTTAATATCATATGACAAGGAGTTTATTCTTCAATGGGCAAGTTATTTAGATCTAATCTTCTAAGGGGGAAGGCAGAATAGAATAATGCCCCTTTTTCGAATTTGGATTTGATACAGTTAGGCAGTTTCAAGTTCTTCTTGGATTCTGGCCTGAACGGCATAGAAATAAAATGATTAATTTTGTCTAACAGAATTGAAAAATACATGTTTCTTGAAAGGTGCTATTGCAGAGAGTGCTGTAATTGTTTCTGGACTGATGGCCTTGGGAGAAGATCCTATCAGATACAGAAAAGATAATTAATAGAAAGCTGCAGAAAGTGGATGATTATATATATGAGATAGATAGATAAATCTAGATTTATCTATCTCCTTTTTTTAGTGTGAGTCAGGTGAGGTGGGGCTTCTCCTGTATCTTTTTTCATTTTATTCTTCAGTGCCTCTTAGTTTTGTATTTAGTTGCAAAAATGGAGAATCCCCCTCAATTTGTCAGTGAAAGGAATATTCAACTCCATAATATTGTCTTTCTAATCATATTATGATCAGTGCTGACTAACTAGTAGCCTATATAAATATACTGTTCTTGCTAGTTTTTAGCTAGCACGGTTTCCAGTAAGTGAATGTAAATGTTAAGAAATGCAGAAGAAACAGGTTTTTTTAATTGCATTTTGCAAGAACAAAATGTAATTGCCAAATAATAACTTTGCTAGTTTTTATGAGCAGCTTCCTTAACAGAAAAGAGAGAAACATTCTCACTTGCTTAATGTTGAAAGAGGTTACTCTAGAAAGGTGGGTAACTTTTTGAGTCTTAGACAAGTGATACTGTGAAAAATGCTGACTGACACTGTTGGGATTCTGATAATAAGGTAACTTGTTCATTCTAGTTGAATGACTTAGCACTTCAAATACTTAGCTAAAAATGAAATGTCTATATATGTATAGTAAGCAAATAATTCTTTTCAGTGGAAGGCTAGTAGAGTTGTGTAGATTTTAAAGCAGAATGGAAAATCAGAAACCAGCGAAACTGACTGAATTGAGCAGGACACAGGGAAGGTACAGCTAACCAAGGTTTTGGGTAAGAGAAGAGTAACTAGTAGACAGTTGTAGGCAGAAGTAATTTAAAGTGTGTCTAGTCTAAATTTGACTGATACACCTTGATACTTTCTTGTTTCTTTTTTCCACATTTGAGACTGATAGTAGTTTTGTTCTCTTAACATGTAATACTGACTTAAGAGTTGAAAAACTTCAGTTAAGAAGATGCAACACAATCTGATTTTTAAGAGATGTAATAGGAGTAACCAAAGTATTCTAACAAGGATGTTACAGCCAGGATGTTACACAGTTCATACCTTTTAGAGTTAAGCTTGCTCCTGAATGGCTTTCTGGAATATATTTTCTTGTTGCCTGGAGTACTAAGACATTTGCTCCCTTTATAATAAAGGAGCCTAAAAAGTTGGTGGCCATATTCATTTTTTTATTTAGCTCCTTCTCCCCTCTATCCCCAATAACAAATAATTAGGTGACATATAATTATTAAAGTATTGTAACGTCTTGCCAAGACCTTTCAAAAAGGCAGTCTTACCCTGACCACCCCAGCAATATCTTTCCACAGTTAGTTGTGGCTGCATGATCATACAGCAAGTCATGGTATAATTAACTCTTTCCACTCTTCCTGTACACCCAAGAAAAGTTATCAGTTGGAAAGACCCATTGCACATGAAAACTTAAGGTTCGAGGAAAATCTTTAGACTTTCTGGCAATGTAGTGGTTTCCTTGCTCAAGAGAGTGCACAGAGTCTAAGCAGTGGTGGAACAACGCTTTATCTCATGAGATCTCCCCTGCTTCTGGTAAGTGTGGTGCCGAGCAGAGAAAGCTCTCTGCCATTTTGTTTTCTGCCAGCAAACCTTGTAAATTTGAATACTTCTATGCACAGAATCTTTCTAGCTCTTGTTTCTTGTTGATTTCCTGGTTCAGTGGCTTTCCCAGAGGCTTCTTTCATATGCTGACTGTAAGGGCTGTATTTCATCCATGAATGTGTTTCACCTCTTCTCTCACGGAGGGTAATGCATGTGATATTCTGCCCTGTAGCAGGAGCAGGATTTTAAACCTCAGGATTTATGTCCTTGGTTCTCCACTTGTTCTTCAACTGTGCAGTCTTCTTCCTGCAGCAGTGCTGCAAAACACACTTCTCTGTTTTGTTTGAGTGATGGTGGCTGTTAATAGGTGACTAGGCTCCATCAGGTGTCATGAACAGGACGGCCAGGCACATTCATACCATAAAGACTGTTTGCTAGAAGCTTTGCCATTGGATTAATCTCCTCCTCTTCTCTCATCCCTTTATAGTTGATGTTGGCCTTAAAACATGTAACTTGAGGGGCTGCACAGTCTACCACCGTCATTTGATGCAACTCTTTTTGACTCAAAATTTCAAATGTGTGAAGGGATCTAAATGTCATCCTTTATGATCTTCCTCTGCGAAGGAACAATAAGGGTCAAACTTCCTGCACGATCAGACATTTATGGAAAGATATCTGGGTGATTTCCTCAGGGAAGAAGCTGAATCCTATTATATCTTTTTGTAGCTTCCTGCTTGGTTTCATTCCAAACTACCTGACCTTTAGGAGGCTTTCTTGAAGCAAATTCCTATTTTGTGGCGGGGAAATCTCATTTGTTGCCTGAAAGCTAGGTCAGTGGAACACTGTCCATGTTTTCTTCCTGTCTGAGCATGTGTGCCTGCCCGGCACCCTGCTCTGATAGTTGCAGCACAAGAACAGTAGGAACACTCATCCCAAAGACAGGAATACTTATAGGGTGGGCAGCATCACCACCCCTAAAACCTTTGTAATCATATTTCTGCTTAACCATGGCTGGGGGAAGGAGCTCTAGGTCATGATTAGTCTTAGTG